CCATCCCATGAGGCCCAAAATGTCTCGTCACTGCGGGCCCAAGCCTGACTGTCCAGTGGCCTCTGGAGGATGACGGCCACCAGGCCGCCAGGGGGAACAGGCCAAGTCACGAAACCTATTCCCACCTGGGTTGGCCCAGCACTGGTAACCTGCTGCAGGGACCGGACACATTTCTGCCAAAAGCTGCTGGGTTTCGAGATTTGTTTCTGAGTCTCTGGGATCATGGCCATTAAGCAGTTCAATCAGGAACCAGAGAGGCCATGCCTCCAATTATATAGCTGAGCCAGAGGTGGTTTGTGGGTGTTTCCCACATACCTAACTTTTGGCCATTTACTTTCTTGGTAAACTTTGCCCCAAGTTTTTGGGGGTCTGGCCAAAGGCACAGCAGCAATTTTGGGGTATCTGGAAGTCTGAAGGCGCCATGAGGCTGCTGATGCACTCACATCACAGGTACAGATTGACCCTGCTAGTGGCACCATACCCCCGTTATTATCTAGTTCTTACTCTGGAGAACCTGGCAGGCTACCAAAAGTATCCTGCCCACACGGCAGTGTCTGGCAAACTCCCCATGGTGTATTCAATATGCCAAAAACCAGTAACAATGATGGGTCTTATTCTCCTGACCCTGAAAGCACCTCGAATGTGGCACTTTCTAAAATCTCATGGTTAGGATGAAGGATACATTACTGGTGCCTGCTTGAGGAAATTGATGAATAACAGGATGACAGTGATACAGTGATTTATTTCAAAATAATCAAAACTGAAACTAAAACCAAAGAACTCCTTGAGAATGTCTGACAACACTTGTGTCAGATATTTTTACTCCGCTGCAGTTTCAATTGCAGGCTCCTTTGCAAGCCCCTTCAGACCTTGACCTCCAACCCTCTCTGCTTTTCCAGTCTGGACACATTGGACTCCCTTGGACTTGGCACATGTGCTGTCATTTTCTTCCTCACATGCTTTTTTTCCCTCTTCTTTGCCACCTTAGGTAACACCTAGCCAAATTCAGTCTTGCGAAGCCCTTCTCCTGGCTCCATTGCTAATGCTCTGTTCAGGCTTGTCAAGACCTCACGGTGAGTGGTGGGGCAAGTGTGCTTGAAAGGGGAGATTATGACAGGTCAAAAGAAACACTACCACAATCTCTCTTGAGGTGGCGGACACTGAGTGGTTTTCACCCATGGGACTTGAGGGCAGCAGAAAACCAGAATCAGCATCCAATGAAGGAATATGGTGACAGAATTCTGAAAAAGCTAGTAACATTTGTGAGTTAGTTGAAGCCATCATGGAATACTGAGTAGGTTTCTCTGAGGGTCTCAAGGATTAGCACTGGAGAGAAAGCACAATGCAGCATCGAAATAGGAAAAGGGGAAACTGATGGTCAGAGTCTTTGTTTTTAGGATGGACAGTAATTGAATGAAGAGGCTTGTTCAGACTGGCTGGTATAAGCAGAGATGGAAAGTGACCCCATTGTCAAAAAAGACTGAGTCAAAAGTAATCTTCAGCACCTGGGTACATAATCTTGAGGGCCTTTGTTCTCATAGATCAGAACCAGACACATTACAGCATTAAGTTAGACTAGTCTCCTAGGGTTTTTTTTTTCTTTTTGAATCACATACATTGATGCTCTGGGGTTACTCCTGCCTCTGCACTCAGGAATTACTCCTGGTGGTGCTCAGTGGACCATATGGGATGTGGGGGATCCAACCTGGGTCTACTGAATGCAAGACAAACACCCTACCCACTGTGCTATCATTCCAGCCCTTCCTAGGAAGTTTTGACTCAATGGATTGGGAAAGGGTTTGGGGATCCCACAGGAAACTCATTTCTAATGCCCTTCAGGTCTGTATCTAGACCAGGGAAGAATGTGCTCCCAAGGCTCTGCAGAGCAAGGAAGAAAAGCAATTTCCAGGGGTCACAGGCAAGAAGAATTTTTTTCTCAACACATCTAGAAGACTGGATAAAGAAACTATAGAACATATACACAATGGAATAATCCTCAGAGATAAGAGGAAACTTCCTGGGGGAACATCGAATGCCCAAAGGCAACAGAAATGAAGAGCAAAACTGATCTTCAGTAGGAAGCTTGCCACTGGGGCAGGTGTCGGGGTTGGTTGAGTTAGGTAAGGAATACTAGGATTGTTGCGGGGGAAATGGGCCAAGCAGAGGCAGCTTGGGGCAAGAGAGAAACTGGGGACTCTGGTGAAGGGATTGGTGCTGGAATGCTGTATGCTTAAAACCCAATCACAAATATCTTTGTAACTCACAGTTATTCAATAAAAATAAATTAAAAAAAAAATGAAAAAACAACCAAAAAATCTCTCACATCTAGAGAGTAAAACAGGACTAAAACATGATAGTAAAATATGTTTGGTCATTTCACCCTGGGCAGATAGAGAGTTGTGAATTTATCGGTACAGTTACTTGCTTAAGTAAAGGAGTGGGAGGTCTCTGAGGAACTTGGCTCCCATCTGTTGTCATGTATTTTCAAAGGGAAACTGCTGATGGGTGCACTGAGATCTCACTCATCCTTAGAGACAAGGCCCCTGTGCTCTTAACTCCCATTTTGCTCTCAGGTTTTCTTGTGTAGAAAAGCTGAGGGCTTCTTGGCTTTTGACTTTAGTCTTATTTTCTAAACTTACCTAGGAAAGGCTTTTTAAAAAGTAATGAAATGCCTTCTTCACGCAATAACTTGGAACCAGAATACATAAAATAGAAAAAACTCCACAAATTTTATAAGCGCTTATTTTATTATATAACATTTATAACACTTAAGTGTATATTAATAATCAATGAGGAAAATGAACCATTTTATGAATACAAAACCACATAAAATCAAGGTGTGTAAGATGAGGATTTTTATCACTTTGGTCGAATAGTATTGAAAAATATCACTTGATATAAATGATCACAAATGGTTAGAAAATGCTTTCCTTACAATTTTAACATATTCTTCAATTAAAATTATCCATGATCAGAAAGAATAAATCATTATTTCAAAATTGAATCACTAAACAGACACAAAGTACTGAAACTTATATTAAAAGCTATTAACATTTTTCTAATGCAATGCTATCACAGTGCGTCAGACAGATTACATATTTATTGGCCACTGCAGGACTGCAAGAACATTCGAGAGAGCATGCACTGAGCAGATAAGAAGCAATATGTCTTAAGGGCTTACTATGTTCCACTGACTTACACCATGCTCAGTGCTTTAAAGGCATTAAGTCTTTGATCCTAACATCCACCCTCTATTATCTTCCCATTTTTTCTCTTAAGGAAACTGGTGTTTAGAGAAGTTAAGCAACTTGTTTATGCTAGACATCAATTGCAATGGAGACATATCTGGTAACTCAATGAGGTTCATTTACATTCAGCTACACATTTGACATCACAAGACATGCACGGGCCTGATTGAAACAGCCATTAGGCACTATAGCCTCTTTCATCTCTTACTAATATCAAGAAGCTTGCTTATGAGTTCAGCTGTTGCATGGAAATCTTTCTTCCATAGTCTGCTTAAAATAAGTCAATCTAGGAAGAAAAAGGAACCTGTTGATGAATGTCAATGTGTTAAAATTTGGAGATAAAGACACTTGAGTCTACCTATCATTTATTAGAGGTTTAAAGAGTTTAAAGTACACTGTAAAGATGAAACTGCTTCACACGTTTCAAAAATTATGATTAGGGAGCAGGTGAGCATGAGTCAGAAAGTTCTGAACTTTTACTTGGTTCCGCCAATTGTTAAGCATTTTGATATTGAGAAAAGCCCTTAACCTATTGGAGATTCATGCCTTTTCCTTTTGAAAAGAGCAAACATTTTACCATATCGGAGTTGCTGTATATTGAATGATAAACATAAAGCACCTCGTGCATGGGACTTCCTCAATAAAATGCAAGTTTTCTTCCTCTTCTCTGCTACTGTCTCTCTCTCTCTCTCTCTCTCTCTCTCACACACACACACACACACACACACACACACACACACACACACACCAACCAGCTTACTAAATCCACACATAACCGGCACAACCTGACTCTCCAGTCTGATCTACTCTACTGTCCAGCCGTTTACCTCTTTCTCCCTGTACCTCTTCAAAGCATGGATTGCCTGAGTCATTCATGTCTTCTGGGAAGAAATGATGCCTGGAACTGTCTAATCAATTCCTAGCCTGAAAGAGGGAGGAGAGAGGAGTGCTTCCTAAGCCATCTCAAGGCAGAAATGGTTGCATTTGTCTGGTAATGACACTTTCATGGGCCTTGGGAACTTCATACAGGAGATAATTTAAATTTTTCAGATGTCAAGGTCCTATTCCTAATGGGACTGTGAGCTCCTGACAGCATGGCCCGTGACCGAAAGTTTATGACAGCTAAGTTCCTGTACAATCCTCACATTTCTAAAGATTCCAGAGAGAATTTATTGACTGAGGAAGGAATATACCTGATAAGTCTAAAAGATTAGATTTTGAATACATAACAAAATATATATATGTATATTTTTATATCAATTCTTCTATGGTAGGGTAGGTGAACTTTGGTCTATTTAGAAGACTTAAAGGTGTTTCAGATTGATTTGTTTTGGGGTGACTTGATGCATGTTTCAAATTTATTTTTATTTGTTTTGGGCTCACAGTGCTTGAGGGCTGCTCCTGGTCAGTTCTTGAGGGTTGATTCAGGTGTTGCTTGGGAGACCTTGTGTGGTGTTGAGCATCTGCCCAGGGCCTTTTGCCTGAATGCAGGTGCTCAGCCCACTGAATAATCTTTCTAGCCTCTCCTACCTCTGGCCCATTTTAGATTTTTTATGCTTAAGATCACATATTAGTGACCTTATATCTTTTATTCTTAAACACATATATTCTTTTAATAGTCATATAATGTGGGGTCCAAGATATTTTTTCTTGGAAAGAAGAGTCAAGACCCAGTTTGAATTTTTTTTGATTGATTGTGTATATTAAAGAAAACAAATTCTGTTTTAATGTCAGGGCCTTAGCTTGGCAAATATTTCAGGGTCAAAGGCTGTGGGCAGATTCCTGACCTGGCTTTCAGTCATCCGACTCATTGTCCCAATGGCCATAACCATCCCCCTCCTCCTGCTCTTCCGCATTCTCATTTTCAAAAGAAGCCTCTTCCTCTTCTTCTTCCCGTATGATCTTCATCAGTTCCAGGAAGCTGGGAGGGGAGCCCTGGTCTTTCATTTCCCTAAGCCTGCACCAAAGAACTTCACTAAGGCTTGCCCCGGCCATGACTTGTTCCAAGCGAACCTGATCTGCAATATTCCTGGGAATAGCCCGTTTCTCCACCGCTTTCCGGAGCAGCGTTTCCAACCGTAACACGTAGGCGGAGACTTTCTCTCCTTCCTCCTGATAGGTCTTCAGATACTTCACCTGGGAGGTTCTGCGGCTCTCCAGGCTTCCAAACACTTGCTTAAATGCCTCCAAACAGTCCTCCACACCTATGGATGGATCGTCTGCCTGCACTATGTGCATGAGGTCCAAGGCAGGACCACGCAGACTCTCCATCAGCCACCTTTTCTTTTCTGCCTCTGCTACAGGCCACTCTCTAACTATCTCAGTGGCCTGTTCCAGCCAGACTTCAAAGGGCTCTTCCTCGGGGCCAGGCACAGTGCTCCCCGAGAACACTCTCAGTTTTCGGTACCTCATGGGGAGCAGAGGCTGAGGGGCATGCGCTATCACCTGTCCCACCAACTGGGCCAATAACTCTGGTGACACAGGAGGCACCGCAGCTGGAGACACTCCTTCATACCCAAGGACCCGGAACATCCCTGAGACGGTCTGTCCCTCTTTTTCTAGAAAGAGGTTCAGTCTTTCCAGAAATTCCATGTCCTGGTTAGGGGTCTTAAAGACCACTTTCCAAACCCCCCCTTTCCCCTGCACCTCAGTGGGAATCAGGGCTACGTCAGTATCTTCCAGTAGCTCTAATAAGACGGCATAGGTATTCTCCTGCTTCCTGAATATTTTGCCAAGCAGCTTGTAACTGCCCAGAGATTGTAAAGTTTCCTCGAAAACCTCCTGAATCTCAGCTTCCTCACAGTCCACCGGGATCCCCGTGACCATCAGAGATTTCTGATCGTCGACGTTCATGATCCTGCACCAGTCCTCCAGCAGTGCCACGGCCATCCTCCCGAGGCTTTCCCTCCCTCTAACCTTATGGGCAACAATTCACTAGAGGCGCAGATGGGCACGTGTAAGGATGGAGACTACGCCGGGTGAGCACCTAAGCTTAAAGCCCACCAGTGAATGGGGTTAGGTCAAGTCACTACAACAAAGTCTCAGAGTCTTCCAGGCCAACACCTGGAGTTGCCCCGTGGCAAGAACTCAGCGCTTCCCTTCAGTCTCAAGGTGTGTAGACAATGCCTTGGGGACAGCACCACGGCCTGTGGCTGCTGTTTTTCTCACTGAATGAGCAGCTGTGCTATGCTGATGAACCGTCAAGCAAGGCGGACGCACCTTCAGGAGCTGCTTTCACCAGTCTCGGATCCCGCTCGTCGCTTCTCTCTAGACACTGGGAAAACACCTTCTACTCTGGCACCGGAACTCCTGGAGAGAAGTCTCACAGCAGAGTGGCTTGGACTCCTAGGGAAACAATGGTCATTTTTACCACAGAGTCCTCTCCTGCCCACCGAGTCACTCATTTGGGAGGGGAATGGGTGAATGACTGGGGGCGCTGTCTCACAGGATATCTTGCTCCATCAGATCCCCTCTTGGCTTCCAGGCACACTTTCTTCTCTCAGGGCCCCTCCTCCTGCAATATGACTTCTCTACCATTTATGCATCAGACTTAGTGATGTCTGTTAGAGACCCCACGAGGGACAGCCTCTTTCCCAAGGAAGAATGAAATCAAGACATGGAGCGAGGTACCTGGATTATGGTTCTAAAATGTTCCCCGAGAATGAAGGAGCTTACTTTTGCAGATTCTTGTAGAGAAACGTGTCACCCAACTTCACAATGGCCGCTCAAGGTCTTAGCTCCAGCCAAGTCAACTGCCCTGTTACACATAAATAATAGTGTATTTTTATGACTTGAAAATATCCAGTGACAAACCACCAATTCACAGTTTAAAAAATGACTCACAATTTTAATCTACTAAACAATGTTGAGTTGCTTCACTTCTTTGATTCAAAAGCCCATTCGAAATGAAATATTTTAAGCCATTTAATAATAATGTTATACAAATGTAAACTTAATAACATAACAGTACAGGCATAACAACTATGGGGTATGGTAATGAAATATTGTACAGGACTAAGTATGTTAGAATAGTGAATTGATTCTCTTTTGTCACTTCTACTCAGGACTTGCAAAGGCACATCTAAGTTTTTCTTTTGCTACAAATGGGACTTTCATCATCGCCTTTGAACTTGAAGGGGTCATTGGAGGAAAAAGGAGAGGAAGCACCTCTAGGAAGAGCTTGAGGAAGAATTCCTAGAATGTCCTAATAACTGTTAAGGAGTATATGTTATGGGCCTGTGTGTGGGTGTCATACGTTTGAGTGAGGTCCATGTGCCACAGACGCTGCTCCCACTGCAGAATAGTCCCCTAATATTTGTACAAGATGTTCGGGGCCAGGAGGGAGATGCTGAATCACACGCTGAGCTAGCAGTCCTAGTGACCACTCCAGCCCACACAGGAGGCAGTCCTTTCTGAGAAGTGGAATATCTCCCCCATCCCCTTTTAATATTTAGAGGAAAACGAGATGAAAAAGGCATCAAATGAAAAAGGCTCAGCAAGAAACCTCTCTAAGGTCTACAGAATTGGGGGTAGGTTATTTGGGGTGGCTCTTCCTCCAAAGAAAATCCCAAATGCAATCTGACCTTCAGCTAAAACTACTGGCAACAGTGTATCATGTCCTCGATACACAGCGGGGGCTAGGGATGGAAATATTTGGGGATGGCAAGTGTGCAGAAATCCTGTATTTTCTCACATAAAGACAAGCTGGAAAGAAGAAACTTTTTTAGTTTTCACCCTGGAAAGTGATGCTGATGATTTAGCATAAAACTGGAGCAAAAAATAGAAGGAACTCACGTGGACAAAGGGCTTTCCCCCCCCTTTTTTGGGCTACACCCGGCTGTACTCTGGGATTACTTCTGGCTCCGTGCTCGCAGGAACAAATGGGGTACTGAGGATTAAACCCAGATGGCTGTGTGCGAGGCAAATGCCCCACCCACTGTACTACCTCTCCATCCTTAAGAACTTTACAGGCTGTGAAGCACATCCGGTGCTCAGACCGAAAGCCTGTGGCCGCCATCCACCAGCTGAGTAGCCTAGTCCTCCCCTTCCGCCTCTCATCTGGGGTTCCCTCCCCTCCTCTTGGGTGGGTTCGCCTCCCAACTGTGACGGGCTGTCTCAAATCTCAAACCGTTCATCAAACTACAACTCAAGATCTAAGGCTGGGAGTCTGGTACCCGCATTTGCCCCTTCCGGGGTGGAAGGGCGGACAATGGGCCCGAGTGATTGGTCGCACTGCCCAGAGCCAGAAAGAGCCCAGACGAAACCCACCCTGCTTTCTGAGCATGCTCAGAGCTCCCCCTCCAGCGGCCTAAGGATCCGCTTCATTTCTGCGGGATTCGGCCACACTTTGGGATGGATGGGGAAAGGTTTGTGAGTCGTCAGCGGGAGCCTCCGACATGGGCAAAGAACGTCGGGTGGGAGTTCGCCGGAAAGACCCCTCGAAGATGAGATGACCCAAGTCAATCTGCCTCCTGGTAGCCCACCCACCGGCCGAGTCCCCACAAATCCATTTTCTGCTTGGCCTTACACGGTCCAAGGCGCCCGGTCACATCCAGCACCCCACCTCCAAGCCCCGCAAGGCAGTCGCGTTGCCAAGGCTCCCCCATCCCCCCGCAGGCGGCTCCCGGGGACCCGGGAAACCCCGCGCTTCTGGCGCAGTGCGCAACAGGGGCGGGGGAGGGACGCAGCGAGGAGGGCGCCCATGCACCCCACGGAGCTGAAAAAGTGGGGGAGTGGGTTTCAACTTGCTGTTTCTTCGCCCACCTCTGCTTTCTATTTATTTACATATATTTGGGAGGTGGGGAGAAGACACCAAATCCAGATAGTCTAATGCGCCCCCCCGGGGTTTGGCTCCTTCACTAGGCCGCAGCTCAGGTCTGCACCATCTCCGGCGGGGAGTAGTAAGTCGAGGCCAGGAGCTGGAATTAGCAGGCGGCTCTGCACGCACAGCGGACCCCTGGTATTCTCTAGCCCACCCTCCCTGTGCGTGTGCTATTCCCCTTTGCACATCTGCCGGTCCAGCTGTGCGCCCCCGCTCCTCCCTCATCACCGCACACCGGGGAGGTCCCTCTCGCCTCCCACCGAGGCCCGGTGGGGTGGACTGAAGCTCTGGTGCCCCGCGCCCCGTCTGGCCTGCACCTGTCCGCGAGGCGTGCCCGATCATCGCCCCCATCCTCAGTGTCCTGTCCGTCCCCGGCTCCCCGCGCCTTCCCGAGCATCGCCCCCCACCACGGGAGGGGGGGAGGAGGGAGCCCTCCGACCCCCAGACCCCCTCCGCAATGCGGCTGGGAGAGGGCCGGCCGGCGGGGGGTCCGGGGACCGCGCCCGGGGGGTCTCGGGGTTTCGGACTCACCGAGGCGCCCGCCGCGCGTCCGTGCGCTCGCCCGGGGTCCGACCGCTTCACTTCCGGAGCGCGGGGCCGCCCGCCGCCCCCTCCCCGCGCTGCAGGCGGCGCCTCCCAGCGCCCGCCCGCCCGCCGCTGCCCGCCACTGGCCGCCTCCCGGGCTCGCGCCGCCGCAGCCCAGACCCAACTTTGCAGCGCGGCGGAGCTCGCGGCGCGGGGCGTGGGCTGGGCGGGGAGGTGGGGGGGAAGCGGGGTCAGGGGGAGGGCCCGTGAGGGGTGGGGAGCCGGCTCGCCCCCCGCCTTCCTTTCTGTGCACCTTGCGGTAGGCAGAGCGCGTTGGCCGCGGCAGCAGCCGAGGGTTTGTGCACACGAGACCGCCAGGCTTAGGGGGTCCGCGGGCGGACGGACGGACGGACGGGCAGACGGACGGACGGAGAGGACCCTCCGCACCATGGCCGAGAGGAAGGCGTCCGGGAAGGCGACCGAGGACGAAGAGGTCCCTGCCTTTTTTAAAAACCTGGGCTCGGGCAGCCCCAAACCCCGGCAGAAATTCTGTGGCATGTTCTGCCCGGTGGAAGGGTCCTCGGAGAACAAGACCATCGACTTCGACTCGCTGTCGGTGGGCCGGGGCTCGGGGCAGGTGGTGGCTCAGCAGCGGGACGTCGCCCACTTGGGCCCCGACCCGCAGCCGCCCTACTCGCGCCAGGGCCGGCGGGAGCCATCTGTTGAATCGGGTCGCAAGGTGGAGATCCGGCGGGCCTCGGGCAAGGAAGCCCTGCAGAACATCTACGACCAGGTGGGTCTGGGGGCGGGGGCTGGGGAGTGGGGGTCCCCGCGTGCCCGCTGTCCCGCCCCGCCTCGAATACTGCCTCCCGCAGCTGCACACGCACCCCGCCCTTCCCGCCTCTTCCCTGCGCCCGGCGCGTTGCGGCTGGGGCTGGGCGGTGGGAGGCTGTGTGCGCCCCTCCCCGGGCCTGGGCACGGGGTGTTGGGGGGTGGGCGCGGGTATAGGAGGGGCCCCAGTCGGGCAGGGTGCGGTGGGGATGGGCTGCGGATCGGTTCTCGAGTCCTCCGGGCGGCATCGGAGGGCAGCGGGGCCCGGGTGCCCCACCCTTTTTCCTCTCCACGCTGGAGCCCGGAGCGCGCCGTGGAGGGTCGGCCTCGAGGGACCCGGGGGCTCCCCCGGGGGTCGGGCGGCTGCTGGGGGCTCCGACGGCGGCTCTCGGCCGCGCCCTGTGCACGCCGCACCACGCCTCCTCGAGCGCCCTCCCCCCGCACCCCACCCCACACTCGGGGGCGAGCGCCCAGGCCAGCACCATGGTCAGCGCCTCCCTGGACCGCCCGGGAGCATCTCGCCAACCCTCCACTGCTGGCAGTCGGCGCGGGCGGCGTGAGAAGACCGAGAGGCGGTGGAGACGCCCGGGAAACCCAGACGCTCCCCTATAGCCCAGGTGGAGAACAAAGTTCCTCTAAGTACCGCAAGCCAGGGCTTCCCGGAGCGAGCGCTCCCCTCGCCGTTATTGGGGAGGCGCTTTGGAGAGGGGGACCCAGCGCATGGTTAACGTTCAGAGGGAGGAAAGGAAGGGAATAGACCGTCAAAGACAGAAAGCCCTGTGCCTTACAGCAGGGAAACAAAGGAGGCCAATTTGGTAATCCCAGACAGCAGAAAATGCCAGCTCTGACAAATAGCAAGTGTGCGTTTTAAGTGCAATGATTTCTCACACCACATTTTTTTCTTCAATCAGGGTGACCTTCATTCCCCCAGCCATTATTTCTTCACGGACGAGTTACAGTGTGAAATGTTTTAACACTTGTTTTCTCTTTCTTGCCCACGTGCTTTGGTGAACATATCAGTCAGTGGCTGGTTGCATGTTGAAGGCCCATTGTTTGCTGGGCCTTGTGGAGCTGGAGGAAGGTTAGCTATAAAAAAAAGTCCAAGGTGATTTCTTCTTTAAGGGGCTTCCAGAGTAGTAGGGAGTGGTCTCTACATCTTTACTAAGTGATTTCACAAATGCTTATCTGCACTCAGCTCCTGCATGGACAGTGGACTGTTAAGCATGGCTAAAACATGTAACTATTTCTTGAAGTGGCATAGTGGTTTCCAGATGTAGACTTTCATGTGATCAACTGTAAGAGAGACTGCAGTCATTTTCTGATAGGGGCTCCTAATGACTTAATTCATCCTCCTCCTTGGCTTCTGATTTATTCATAGAGGGTGGCATCAGCTATAATATTTCATTCTCATTCAAGCAGAAGAATCCTAATACAAAAACTCACCTTTATTTCAAGTGATCAGACATTCGGAGTAAAATTTTCTAATAACGCAGCATCCTGAAAGCTGAATGTAAAATACTTCCATATATGAATACATATTGGGTGAGGGCCAAAACCATATCGCATCATAGTTATGTGAGGAGCCTCATCTTCAGCAAGTTGTACAAGCACTTCTAATGTGAGCAGTGAGGTGCCTGGACATTAAGGATGAGATTTACAAATAAGTCATTCAGATGGCAGAGATTGAGGATGCATTCCTATAACGATGGAGCAAATCACAATTTACATCTGAAAGATAAATTTTCACTGGGTTGAAGGGCATCACCTTTCTTGACACTTAGATATTTGTTCATCAGAGCTTTTTAAAAAGTATTCCCCACATTTAATAGAAATTCCTAAATTGTAAATATAGGACTCATGGAAGGAGAGATTTGAAGAGGAACTACCCATCCAAAACCCTTGGCAAGTTTGACCTTAACAAATCCAGGTTTATTTCAGTGGGTTACTAGTGGTGGTTCTTTCTCAAGCCCTTTCTACATTTATTTCCAAATTTAAGTTTTAAATCTTGCCTTATCACAGAAGGGGTGTTGTTTGGAATTTTTCTCTCAGTCATAAGAGAATTTCAGTTCTTATAGAGTATGAATATTTTCTTTTATAGAAGAGAGAATAGGAATTTGGGTGTATATGTATATAGTAATAGTAATTTCCAAAACCACAGTTGAGGGACTGGAGTGATAGCACAGTGGGTAAGCCTTGTATGCGGCCCGACCCGGGATAGATTCCCAGCATCCCATATGGTCCCCTAAGCATGGCAAGGAGTAATTCCTGAGTGCATGAACCAGGAGTAAGCCCCGTGCATCGCTGGGTGTGACCCAAAAAGCAAAAAAAAAAAAGCAAAAAAATAAACAAAACCACAGTTGACGCATCATTCTGACTGCATTGAGTAGCCATGACATAGCTAATAACTAATAAATGGGATGACTGCCAGCATCTCAGTATTACATTTGGGAACCTGAAGCATAGGTGTGGGAGAGACAAGAGGGGTGGATCCTGGCTCCTTAACACTTCCTCCAAAACTTTATTCCCTTGGTATTCAAAGGGGATTGGTTTTAGTAGCTCTGGTTAGGAGGGGCCTCATGAAAGTACAGAAAGGATGCATTATTGACTTTATTCTCTCATATATAAGACTACTGGGACTTCAGCCTTCACCCTTGCTTCTGAGAATCTCCTCTGTTCCTTCTGAGTTATGAGTTAACCAACCCACCTATTTCTCTAGGGAAACGGACCTGAGCATCCATCCCCAAAGGATTTCAGGTAGTTTTCTCAGCAGAAAACATGCTGCTGACTAGAGAAGTAGGGTAATGATTTTCCACCTCTCTAGGGAAGTGTCAATAGTCATGTTAATACAATAAGTCTGTAAAATGCTTTCTCTTTTTATTTGTAACTTTTTAAATTTAATGAAAGAACCATGATTTACAAAGTTGTTGATAGTTGAGTTTTGGGGATGTAGCTTCTCAACACCAATCACACCACCCATGTCAGCCTTCCGCCACCAGTGTTCCCATATTCCTATCCCCACCCTCAACCCCTACCGGTCACCTTGACAGGCACATTACAGAGTTCTGGTGGTTGCATCTTAGATCTTATGTTTTCAGTATTGAGTCTGTGTTTGGATAGACAGCTATACATTCTCCCACATCACATCTAACAGAAGCCTCAACCCTTGTTTGCCCATTACTTTTCTCTTCCTCTTTCTCCCCCACCCCTACTCCAGCTTGTGTTCTTTCCTTCTCTCTTCTTCTGCCCTCTAAATGCTGAGGCCAAGGGTGATCCCGGCTGTAAAACACTTTCTGACATTCCCATCTGTTCATTGATCCCCATCTCCACTCCCCAAGTTTCTTCTTCCCCAAGCTGGTGCTCAATTTCTCTGCTGTATTCTTACTATTCGATAGTATCTCCAGCCTATTTTGATGGTAAGGGCCCTTACGTATTTTCCCCTCTAAAAGTAGCTAGTTCTGAAATCATTCTCTTCCCCTTTGTCTACTCATTTCCCATTTAAAAAAGTCCCTTCTTTGTATTAATCTTAACTAGAGAGAAATCCCAGTGACTGAAATCATCCAACTCTTATGTGACTAACTAGTACATTTATTGTCCTCAGAGATATTTATATGATTATAGACTAGTCTGTTCAACAAAATGACTGTCTAGTTAACAGGACGTATGGTAGAACTTTGGCTGGAAGCCTACATAAGGGCATCTGGAAGGTTGTGTTGTTTCAAAAGAGAAGACAAATATCAACATCTGGATGTTCAAGATTCCCAAAACTTAAAACTCATCCAGACTCTGATAGAAAGGGATGCTTATAAATGAAAAGAAAATACTGACAACTCATAATTATTGGTCATGCTCGACTTCCCAAATAGTTATTGAATCATTAACATAACTAGTTAGATTTTTTTAAGAGTTCATTATAGTAATTGGAGCACATGTCTCATCTGTGCACTGCCCTGAGCTTTGTTCCTGTCCCTTCATGGCCCCTGTTGTTATCAGTTGAGCACACAAATGCCAGGCTCTCACACTAGGTCAAGCATCACCGGGGAGTGGCCCCTGGGACAACTGAGTACTTCTGAGTACTCTGTTTTTAAAAAAAAGTTAATGGTGACCGGAGAGATAGTACAGAGTATAAGGCATTGCCTTGCTCTTGGCTAATTCTTGTTTGAACCATCAGGAGTGACCCTGAGTGCAGAGGCAGGGGTAAGCCCTGAGCAACTCTGGGAGTGCCTCAAAAAAAAAAAGGAAAAGAAAAGTTAATTGTAGTGAAACATGCAACATAAAATGTGCTGTTTGAGGGCAGGGGAGAGAGTTCAAAGGGCTAGTGGCTAGTGTACAGGTCAGTATGCCCTGAGAACACACAAGAACAACCCCTGACACGGTACCTGGAGTGGACTCTGAGCACTGTGGGTGTGGTTCGAAGACACACCCAAACAAACCAAAACATTTGCCATGTAAAACCATGGAAGTGATATCAGATACTTTAATATTGTGCAGCAGACCTCTTTCTTCTTAAAACACTGATGCGCAACCAGAACTCTTTCTTCTTAAAAAACTGAAACCCTGAACCCATGAACCCATTCCTCACCTCCCTCCAGGTTTTACAAGTCACTGTTCTACTTTCTGTCTATCAATTTGACTATTCTAGCCATCTCACACTAGTGAAATCTGACATATTTGTCATTTTGTGACTCGAAGATTTCATTAAGCATAAGTTCAACCATGCTGTAGAATGTGGCGTTATTTCTTTCCTTCTTAAGGTAAAATAATATGTCTATAATCAGTTGAATTTGAATAAGTTATTGATGACTGGAAAAAGTAGTTGCTCAGTGGCTATATCTGCAGTGAATTCATTGTGGGTAGTAAAGTTTGTGTTTGGGATGAGATAGACTTCCCCATCCTGGTGCATAAGGCTTGAATAGAAGAAGACCCTAAGTTCTGAATATCCTAATCTTCCTGCTTGGTGGCTCA